AATTTAGGCTCTACAATGTCACCGGAAGACCCAAGTGAGAACTCTGTTCATGGATCCGCGAATGCAAGTATTCATCAAGAAGAACCTCATTAGCCGGATCCATTCATGCAACAAATGGCTGAATTTTTCCAACAGTTGGTGCAGAATGTGGTCCCAATTAATAACGAAGTTGTAAGAGAGTCTATCACTATCAAAAAACTTAAAAAGAATGGTGCCTCCATCTTTTTCGGTAAAAGAGGGGATACCCTTGAAATTGCTGAATTTTGGCTCGAGCAAACTGCTCGTGTGTTGGAGGACTTACAAGTTCCATTAGCCGAACATCCACAACACACCATTAATCTGCTACAACACGGAGCATACGATTGGTGGAAATCAGTGCTACTTAGACCAGATTTACCCAGACCAATGACATGGGATTATTTTCAAGCGCGCTTTATAGATCAATTTGTCCTTGCATGGTATCAAGAAGAGAGAAAGCGACAGTTTATGGATCTGACTCAGGGGTCCATGACAGTTGCTGAATATGCATTAGAATTCCTACGCTTGAGTAAATATGCCCAGGATATGGTGAGAGCGGAACCAGATAAATGCCGCAAATTTGAGTACGGGCTCAATGAAGAAATTGTTGGTTTAGTGGTTGCTTTACGCCACACTAGTCTCACGGAACTTGTCGGTGCTGCTCAAAGTTTTGAAGGATGGCGTAGAAGGAAAACAGGCAGTGGAACCTTTTCACACTCGGCTCCTATAAGGAACTCAATAGGAAAGAAGCAAGAAAGTAACAAGAGTAAATCTCAGGGCCAATTGTCTAGATTCAGTCAATCATCTCGTGCCCCATCAACAACTTCCGGTAATAAATTTCAACTGTTGGTTACGCAGGCTAAAAATGTTCCATTATGCTCTTTTTGTAACAAGCATCATATTGGTGAATGTAGAAGAGCTTCAAGAGCTTGTTTCCGTTGCGGTCAGATGGGTCACATGCTCAGAGATTGTCCCATACTTGTCAATGGTGCTTCTTCATCGGCTCCAATCTGCCCAACACAACCCCCGCAGAGGAGTCAACAAACTGGCAACCAAGGCAATGCTAAAACTAACTCGGAAATAGTGAATAGGCCAACACAAGGCCGCCCTCAAGCTCAGACTTATGCTATGCAAGCTAGAGAAGAGCAATCTGAGAGTGATGTCATCATCGGTATGTTCACTATTTTCAACACCGACATATCTGCCTTAATTGATCCTGGTTCTATGCATTCCTATATATGTGTTCGTCCTTCATGCTTAGTTGAATATCCAAGAGGGGACTTAGATTTCCAAATGGAGGTATCCACACCTCTAGGATGAAGTATCATTGTTAATAAAATATCCCGACATTGTCCTTTAGAGGTTCAAGGAAAACAGTTCCATGCAGATCTTATTGAATTACCTTATCGAGAATTTGATATAATTCTTGGTATGGATTAGCTTTTTAAGAATAAAGCTGTAGTAAATTGCCAAGATAAAACATTGTTACTTCAAACCGAGAAAGGCAAAACTATCCTTGTCCCTGGGGAATTGTTTCCAAAGTCACCTCAACTCATTTCTATGATGCATGCCAAACGGCTTATGCGTAAGAAATGCCAAGCATATCTAGCATATGTTCGAGACACACAGAAAGAAGCTCCAACCTTAAATGACATCCCTATTGTTCAAGATTTTTCGGATGTTTTCCCTGAAGAGTTACCAGGTTTACCACCATCTCGTGAAGTGGAATTAACTATTGAATTAGTACCTGGTACGACACCCATTTCAGCAACTGCTTATCGAATGGCTCCTGCTGAAATGAAAGAACCAAAGGCACAACTTCAAGATCTCTTAGATAAGGGATTTATTCAACCAAGTGTGTCTCCATTGGGCGCACCCGTTCTTTTTGTGAAGAAAAAGGATGGTTCTATGCGACTATGTATTGATTATCGGCAATTGAACAAAGTGACGGTGAAAAATCGTTACCCATTTCCGAGGATTGATGATCTTTTTGACCAACTCAAAGGAGCCAAAGTGTTCTCAAAGATTGATCTTTGATCAGGATATCATCAATTACCTGTCAAAAAGGAGGATGTACCAAAGACTGCATTTCGAACAAGATACGGACATTATGAGTTTTTGGTCATGCCTTTCGGACTAACCAATGCTCCAGCCGCTTTTATGGAACTAATGAACAGGGTATTCAAACCCTTCATTGACCAGTTTGTAGTTGTCTTTATTGATGATGTCTTGATCTATTCAAAGTCTGAGGTGGAACACACAGAACATCTCAAATTCGTGCTAGAGACATTAAGAAAACACAAACTCTATGCCAAGTTTTCAAAGTGTGAGTTCAGGCTCAAGAAAGTAACCTTCTTGGGTCATGTCATTTCAGCAGATGGCATAAGTGTTGACCCTACAAAAGTACAAGCCATTACAAATTGGAAACCACCTCGAAATATAACAGTGGTCAGAAGTTTTCCGGGACTAGCTGGTTACTATCATCGTTTCGTTAAGGGCTTTTCTATGATAGCTTCACCTCTTCATAAACTTCTTGAAGAAAAATTCACGTTTTGAATGGACACCATCGTGTCAAGAGAGTTTTGATAAACTCAAGAAGGTTCTCACAGAAGCTCTGGTACTTGTTCAACCGGTATCTGGAAAGGATTTCACCGTGTATATTGATGCTTCTCATAATGGCTTGGGATGTGTATTAATGCAAGAAGGAAAAGTGATCGCATATGCCTCGAGACAACTAAAGGAGCACGAGAAGAATTACCCCACACACGATCTTGAGCTAGCAGCCATTGTCTTCTCTTTAAAGATTTGGTGACATTGTCTCTATGGGGAAAAATGGTATATCTTTACTGACCACAAAAGTCTTAAATATCTTCCTACTCAGGAGTTAAATATGAGACAAAGGCGCTGGGTAGAGTTAATCAAGGATTACGACTGTGTAATCGATTATCACCCGGGAAAAGCTAACGTTGTGGCAGATGCTTTGAGTTGGAAAACTCTTGCTGAATTACATCTTAAGCCTTCACTTCAAGAAGAAATCATAACAGCTCAAAAAGCTGATGATCAGTGTCTTCAAATAGTGGAGTTGATTTATAAAGGGGAGAAACCAGATTTCAGTAAACAAAGTAATGGTGGATTGTGCTTCAAGGGACGTTTGGCTGTTCTTAATGGAGATTTTAAACAAAGAGTTCTTCAGGAGTCGCATGAAACAAAGTACTCAATGCATCCAGGCAGCAACAAATGTATGGAGATTTGAAGAATCTATATTGGTGGTCCGGTATGAAACGTGATATCACCGAATATACTTCGAAGTGTCTCATTTGCCAACAAGTTAAAGCTTAACACCAAGTTCCATCTGGATTGTTACAATCCATTACAATACCAGAATGGAAATGGGATCGAGTAACCATGGATTTTGTGGTTGGATTACCCTTGACACCAAAGAAGAATGACTCAGTTTGGGTAATTGTAGACCGACTTACCTAATCTGCTCATTTCATACCCATTCGAAGGGATTTCTTCTTAAACAAATTAGCCGAATTGTATCTCCAAGAGATAGTCCGATTACATGGTATACCACTATCCATCATATCCGATAGAGATCCAAGATTCACTTCTCAATTCTGGAGAAGGTTACAAGAGGCAATTGGTACGAATTGAACTTTAGCAGAGCTTTTCATCCTCAGACAAATGGTCAATCTGAAAGAGATATTCAAATTCTTGAGGATATGATGTGGGGATGTGCTATTGAGTTCAAAGGAAGCTCGGAGAAATACTTGCCTCTTATGGAGTTTGCATACAACAATAGCTATCAAGCTACCATCCAGATGGCACCGTACGAAGCTCTTTATGGTCGAAAATGTAGAACTCCGATTTGTTGGACAGAGCTAAGTGAAAGAAAGACCATTGGGCCTGATTTGATTCAAGAAACGGAGGAGAAGGTCCAACTGATTCAGGAATGACTCAAGGCAACATCAGATAAACAAAAATCATGTGCTGATCTGAAGCATCGTGATATCGAGTATGCTATAGGAGAAAAAGGTTTTCTGAAAGTGTCTCCTTGGAAAAAGGTACTCCGTTTCGGCAAAAATGGTAAGCTGAGTTCGAGGTTTATTGGACCTTGTGAAATCACTGAACGTGTCGGTCTTGTAGCCTACAAACTCGCATTACCACCAGAGTTGAGTCAAATACATGATGTTTTTCATGTGTCAATGCTAAGAAGATATAGATCTGATCCATCACATGTACTCACACCCAAAATTGTGGAACTTGATAAAGATTTAACCTATGAAGAAGAACCGGTACAAATACTTGCTCGAGATGTGAAGGTGCTAAGGAATAAAATAGTTCCCTTAGTCAAAGTTCTTTGGAGGAACCACACCATGGAAGAAGGAACTTGGGAAATGAAAGAAGCTATGATGACCCAATATCCAGATTTGTTCAACAATGTCAACTTAGGTAATTTCGAGGACGAAATTCTTTTAAGAGGGGAAGAAATGTAACGCCCCGAAATCCGGTCTAGTATTTAAGGTACATATGAATAAATTTTTAGATATTATTTTTCCACCAAATTAAATATCTTCGTAAAATTATAAAGTAAATAGTTATATAAAAAACAAAACTTATAATAAAGTAACATACAAAAAATGAAGAACGTAAAGTACAATTCGATCACATAAACTTAACAAAATTAAGAAAATGATGAGGGACGTGAGAACAACCAAATTAAATGATTTCAATTATTTGATTGTATAATTATATGGAATAGTAACATTTTAAGAGTCAAACTTGACAAGCTAAATTAATTCAGAAGAAGCATTCAAACAAATGAATAGTAAAGCCATCTCATGGTATGGGAAAATAGATGATCATACGTATGTTGTACTAATGAGATAGAGGATAAGACAATTCAATTATTTGCAAATTCCTAGTCATACACATGGGATTTATTTGGCTTTAAATAGGAGCTATCTCCTCTTATTTTTGACACGATCCAAACACTAACTAAAGAAAGGAAACTCATCACAAGAAATATAGCTCCAAGAAGAAGAACACAGCCGTCTAGGAGGTTTTCATATCAATAAAATTTTCGAAGTATTTGTGTATAAGGTTAGTACTTCTGACCCAGTTTTTTTTAATGTATATTTTAATATTATTATGTAAGTATAATTTCCGTCCCCGTTTCATATGTTATGGGGATGATGAATATTATTTATCTTAGAAAAATTGTATGCTTTTAACTGTGTGCATAATTTATAAGAGCTACTATTGATAATTACCTTATACTTTGTACGTAAATGAAGAAAAGTTTAATTGATGGAATAAGTCTGGCAAGTTGGAATCGGAAAATTATAAAATGAACCAAGCACGATGCATGGCTAAGTTATTTGTAAATGAAAATACAAATCTGTAAAATTTTAGCCTTAAGGCATTTCATGTTTTTTTTTAAATAAAGTATTTCATATTATATGTATTCCCATAAACGATCACGTAGTACATGCATGTGTATAAGGTCGGGTATCATTTGTCAACGTAACATACTTAAATATAAGTATTAACATATGGAGGTAGCTAATTAAGTGTTATAAATTTTAGTTAATTTACGTACACATTTATATGACCATTTACTTTAATATTATTTATTTACGTAATTTAGTTTTGAAAGTCACATACAATAAGTTAAGATTATATCTATAATAATATATATAAGTACACGTATAACTAGTCTCAAGGTTTAGCCTAAAAATTACAACTAAATTATTTATAAAAGTTTGTGTTCATGAAAATTATTAATATATAGTCCTACTATGGGTAAGAGTGCCGAGTTTAATAAATAGATGCTTATAAACGTGGATAGTGTTATGATACGTGTAAGGTTTGTATTACATGCATTAATTAAGTACTATACATATATATTAATTATGTGTCTTTATTATAATTATTGTCTCAAGTATTACGGAGTACTACTCACGTAATGTGAATGTAACTCTTTAAATCTTTATCAATAAATAAATATATAAATTAAGATACGATCATTTTTTTAAGGAAATTAAGATACGGTCATTATAAATTAAATTAAATGAAAAACTTACGGTAAAGATTTCTGAAAAATGTCCCAGAATGTAAGATATGTTAACTTCAATATTTTTATTGTAAACAAACTAAAGAAAAATGTTTCTCAAAGGTCTTGCTCTTGATCCGGCACTGTGACACGAATACTCGTGACCTGTTCTGTTTAGTGTACTATGTACACTCCTGAAATTCTGTCTTAGAGAAATTAGTGTTCTCTTGTTTAGTGTACTATGTACACTCCTGAAATCTTTTTAGAGCACTATTACTCTTCTGTTAAGGTTCGAATCTCTTCAGTGATCTCGTCCTTTCTGTTCAGCTAGCTCCTGTTAGGGATTGGTACGTGTAGCTCCGGCGATTACGTTTCCACATCCTTTCTCGGTAATGTGGGTATGGACTTTGTGACCATATTCCTTACCGTTAGTATTCCTCTATCTAGGTCCAGTTTCTTGAGTGCAAGGCTAAAATGAATTTATTAATAATATATCTCTGAATAAGAATTATTTGATAATTATGATATCTGAATATGCTTCTGATCTGAATATAAGTATCTTGATTTTTAAACCAGTTATCCAGTTCACTCAGGTATGTTATATGTCTGTTGACTAAATGTTAATTATGTTCTGTTGCTGTGTGATTTGATATGTACTCCCTCTGTCCCGGTCATTTCTTCCAACTTTCCTTTTTGGTCCATCCCCATAAATTCTTCCAACTTCCACTTTTGGAAAAAATATGATAAACCCAGATATTTCACAATCAAACAACCATAACAAGAAGAATAAGCAGATAGAAAGATATCGAGAAGATTAAAACCGAATCTGGTAAACCGTATAAATCCCGCTGCTCTCCCTCGAGAAGGAGAGCAGCGGAAACCCTTCTCTCTATCTCGCCTCTACGCACTCTAAGCCTCTTTTCGATACTTCGATTGGGTTCCCGTAAGTTAGCCTCCTTTTATAGGAGAAGTTGGCTAACTTACGGGCTACAAAGAACCTAATGGGCTGATACACATTTGTGGCCCATATTACACATCTAAACAATAACTACACTTTTACACACAAATACAAATATATTTAATCTAGATTGGACACCATAAAATATTCCTAACAATCTCCCCCTTGGTGTTCAATCTTGTTTACTCAGCATTGCAGCACATATATCTTTGTTTGTGAGCTTCAGTGCAGCTCAGCTTCTTTGTCTTTGAACGCGTCTTCTTAGGAAGGCATTCTGAAGAAGTCCTTGCAATCTCCCCTTTGGCAATTTGTTCTTTGATGCCGGGGGTTGAGGAATCTTCAATATCTTGCATGTAGTTCTTGCCTTCAAGAAGTTGCTCTTGATCAGCTTGGATGAAGTCCATTGGCGCCTCTAGAATGAATATTCCGATGATTTCCAGGCACCCACGAGATTCCTCTTCGGTACGAGAGTATCTGACCTTTGTCTCCTCCACAATGTAGTCTTTTTGACTATTTGAAGTGAATGCTTTTAAGGAGAACCTGTCGGTGGCACAGTGGAACATAATGATTGACATGTGAGCGTAGCTGACCATTTGAGTTGAGTTGTAGAGATAGCATAGAAGGTGTTGATTTTTGTGATGGAGGAGTGAAGTGTCCGAGAATGATTTGTTCAGTGTTAACAGCATGTGGACCACTCTCCCCCTCATGACGATCCGATGAATCGGGACGTCATGCTTTTATTCTTTTATTCTGCAGAAATAAAACAGGAAACAAACAGAAAGAGTAAATGATAAAAGCCCCCCGGGGTCGTGTAGATACCCGTTTTCATCACTATAGAGATAAACTCTAAAGCAATGGCCTGAAAATGTTGGTGATTCTTATGTTGCAACAGCAGGACTTCCTTCCAATCATTAGTCTACGTCTGCAATATATGAGACCTATGGAAGTTTTCGGACTTCTCGCGGGTCTTTGAAGACCTGCAACTGACTCAAAAAGTGCGTCGGTGTCCTAGAAAATTGAAAACATTTGGGAGTGAGGTAAATAGGCACGACGTGATCAATGAAAGTTCAGTGGCATGGGGCTGAGGCCACTGTAGTCAGTATTACTTGCCTTGTAAGGAGGTAGTAATGAGAGATGCGGTTCCCCGTGAAATATGATTAAACACCTGTCTGTTGGGAGACAAGTGAGCGGTCTTGGATAGAGTTCAACATGCTAGGAAATGGATGTAACGTACCTCAAAAGTACAGCAGCGGAAGTTTAAAATTTTCCCAAACAGATCTTTCCTGAATATGACAAAATAACGAATATGATAATAATAACATATCTGAGTTAGAACTTACAGATCTTCCAGCCTAGCGGTGATAATCCTTGACCTTAGGTATCCACGTGATTTCTCCTCTCCGAAAGAACGGTTAGATCTCCCTTAGAGAAAGGCTAGGAAATCTCTTCACAAGGAAACAAACTGGTAATACTGAATCTGAAAACTCGTCACAAAATTATGAAGGAGGGGGATGTATTTATACTAGTTCTAAACTAGTTTCCCTATTACAATTGAAGTCTTTCTAATTAATGAGTTCTAATCCCGCTAGGACCAATACTCCTTATTAATTAAATAACTAGAAAAAAAACAAAATAATAATAACAATAACCACAATAGAGAAGTGGTCTTACGCCACTCTCTATTTATTATATATATTATTATTTAGTTTATTTACTTTTCTTTTTAATTCTAAATTACAAAAGAAAATATCAACTTTATTAAATAATAAATACATCTTAATTGAGTATAATAAATCAAATTTATCACACTTAATTAATTCTATCAAATAGAACTCTCCTTCAACTTCATGAATTAAATATGTTTAATATAATTAATATTTAATCCATTTTCAGTATTACTAATTAAATATTATTTAATCCAATTAATAATATTTAATTCCTTCTAACAATTCAATCGGAAGGTATAATCACTTGTTGTGTGACCCATAGGGCCTTATACATTAAGCACTAATCAAATTAAGGTCTTAGTAGAATCCCTAGACGATTTACCAGACAAACTTAATATATAAGGACGTTTGCGAGGAGTATTCCAACTCCCTGTAATATAGAGCTCATAGTGATACAGTCCTTTCATTCAACAAACATTCAAATAAGTCTAGAACATGATAATGTGTCTATTCCAATAACTCAGTCTCTGTCTCTCAATCTTTCTAGATGATCCATAACGATCATATTCGATATCCAAAACGAATATATCTTTGCATTGGTCAATGACTTTATGATCCATCTAGATATGAGAAGTAGAATGTTCTCTCTTAATCTATTATGAGGAATGAATCCTTTCTTGGCTCAACTACTACTCCATGTGCTTCGTGATGCACCCAACACATGTCGTATCTATCCCGATTGGAGTGCAAGCGTTGGTCATGGTCAAAGTACATCACTCCGCACATGTAGTACGTATTGACCTCAAGTCGGAGGACTATTACACTACTCTATACGCCGATAATCCCATAGACACATGAATAGAACTTATCAAATGGTTTCTCGGTGGGTATGCCAATATTCTCTAAAATATCTATGTGATCATCATGAATTACATGAACTCATAGTTGTGAGATCAACTATACTTTCTAAAAGTATGATGCAGTCCACATACCAATCTTATCGCATATCATCAATATCCTATTCTTGATGATCATTGATTGGAGCTATTTTAGGACCTTATGTTATATCATATAAGCTCTCACTTACTCATTGACAACATAAGTCCAAGGGAACACAATTATGAATAAGACATTGACAATCGAAATGCTTAATCATCAATATGCAATACCGTATATATCAAATATATAAAACTGAATGTGATCAAGTACATATATATATATATATATATATATATATATATATCTAAAAAGTGATTGTCGCTAGGACATATATACTAACACAACATGCACTGTTGGACAAGATGCAGTGACTTCTACCTGGGATCTGATTAAATCAGCCATGAACGTATGGGGATTGTCCAGAGTATTTGAGTGGCTAGGAGTAAATGTTCAATGGATAGCAGGCAATTGAGGTAGCAGACTTATCATTGATGAGTCTCAAATTCTCAATCCCCATCAAAATATAATTGTCTCAATTTCATTTTTACATTATATCAAATTAGTTGTTTCATTTTCTTTTTTGAAAATATATCTACCCTAAAAATAGTTGTGTTAAGCGGTCATTGCTCAGAGAATTTTCTTCTGTGAACTCAATGAAAAAACCAAAGCGGTGAAGATCAAGAATGAATGTACAACATCCAAGGGTACACTATAATAAAGTATATAATACATTTACAATTACAATACAAAAAGCGCTTACTTTTGGAAAATGTACATTGATTTGATATAAATGGAGTGTGTAAGAGTATCTTCCATGCTTTTAATGCATTGGTGATGATGCGATTAAAAAATAAAGAGGGTCTATTTGACACGTGGGCCAATCTTTAACTAAAAGAAGGGTGACATAAGAACTAAATAAGAAAACTAAATTGAATAAGAAAGAGAAAGCTTCATAAGGGGCGGAGGGTGGCACCACAGGTCCAAAGATGACCTTATTCTAGACCTTAGTCCATTTTTTAAATTGTCATATCAGCTAGACTGAATCTTATTTATTATGCATTGAAGATGACATTTACATTTCAAACGTGCATTCCATGAGGTAGAAATACAATACGCATTTTCATTAGATCGATTGAGTCACCATGACTTATAATCTCACAAATGTCTTGTTAGAGCATTTCCAATAAGAACGTGGATTGTAGAGCTTTAAGGCTATGTTTGATAGAACGAGCTGAAGCTGGAGACTATTGTCTGAATTATGGGCTATTGTCTAATCAAAGATTATTGTCTGGAGCTGAACTTTGAAGTGTTGAATCTGAACTCTTAGCTGAATGAAGTAGACCCGTTTGGCAAAAAAAGCTGAAAATTGTCCGACTAAAATGAAATTACATTAAAGGACATATGATTAACTAATGCAATAAATATTTATTATAATGCTTTTATAAGTTAATAAATATTGAGATTGTAGTAAATATTTATATGTGTGTATATGCATATATACACACACACACACATATATATATATATATGTGTGTGTGTGTGTGTGTGTAAATATATAATGTAAAAACTGCTACTGATTTTCTGGACGGTATAGAATGAAAGATTAAAATTTGTTGACTATTAGAAATATAACATGGAATCCGCAAAAAAAAAAAAGAAATATAGCTTGGAGAAAGGACAGAGAGAGCAGATGGAGTATAGTAGAGAAAGATAACTTGTCGATTGTGGAGGAAATAGGATTTGTATTCGTAGGGAATGAGGGAATAAGTAAAATCTGGAGGGATCTATGTTGAAACTTGGGCGATCAATCAAAGAAGAAAAGGTGTTGAGAGCTGTGGCGTGAGATTGAACAGGGATATATCGGAAATGGAGAGTCTGGAACGAGGCGGCTAAATCTAAACGTTACCTTCCTCAACGTTTCAGTTCAGCCCTATTATTTGAGATTAAGCCCAGTTCAACCCTATTATTTGAGATCAAGCCCAGTTCAGCCCCCCAAACAAATATGACTATTTTAATCAAAACTGACTGAATTTTAAAGATTTCAGCCCTTTTTTAGCTGAAGCAGCTTGCCAAACATAGCCTAAATGTGGACACATCACTGCATGAACATGCTATTGAAAAGGATATGGGATGAGTTGGCCAAACACAAAGACAAAACAAAATTCATTCTCCAACCTAGCCGTGAGTTTTCATGGTGCCCATTATGCTATTTTAGTGCGGAGGGTTTTTAGTGGCTTTTATATGTTCAAATAAATCTAAATTAAGCAGTAACATAATAGCTTGCTGACTCAGCTTGTTCATCCTTTCTAAAAACCAGAAATCAAGATGCACATTGTGGCGATTTCAAAATTCCAACTTAGCACCGTATGTAATATAGACATTTGCATTGGAAGATTTTTTTTTTATCCAGACTCGATTTTCTTTAAGTGACCGTGTGATGGATAGTGTACCCGGGGGTAGCTTATCCGAGGGGTTATTACGGGGAATAACAAGAGAGAAGTAAGAGCAAGCACGTATAGAGAGAGAAAGTATATTTAGAAAGTATGCAGCGTTTATGACTTGGTTACAAATGGGGAAATGAGGTGCTATTTATAGTAGCAATAAATGCCGGACAGGGACACGCGTCAAGCGTCCATTGGCCGAGAGGTCATCTCAACTGGTTGGCGCTGGCAACCGCATGTGGCCGCATTTAATGCAGCTGTTGGATGGGACGTTGTACAGGGTACGATGATCTGTACGCATGTGGCGCGGCTATCATGTCGGGGAAGGTGCCCTCGGCTGTAGAGGACTAACCGAGGGCTCTGAGTACCGGGGGCCCCCTTGGTGCCGAGGGCTCCAGGTGCCGAGGGCTACCGATTTTCGCCGTTTTCCCAGTAACTTTGTTTTGCTGTCTTGGCCCTCCTGTGAGAGTTAGAGCCTTCGGCCAGGGGGCCGAAGGCACCCCTGGTGCGCATTTGTGGGCTGCTTGGTATCTTGGGCGCCGTGATTTGGGCCTGTCGTGCTTTCTGGGCCTGTTGGGCCTTTATTGGAGCAGTAGGAGTCTGTGGGCCGGGGGTTCCCGAGCCATATACTCCATCAGGAGTCCCTCACTCCTTTTGCCGAAAGTTACTTGAGGGAAAAGGAGTAATTTGTGTTTGTCCTATGCCGTTGTTCCGTTTGTAGTTTGTAGAGTTGTGGGTAGTTTGTTGTTTGTTTATTCTGCCGAGTGCAGTCCCTCAGTTATCCACATGTCGCTACTTGAGGGGTCATGTTTGTGATTTTTGTGATTTTTCCCGAGGGGGTCCTCCAGTCCCCCACTCCTTGAGGCACTTGCAAAGTGGTGAAAAGGAGTAGAGTAGTTGTGTTGCTGTTTTGGGCCGAAGGCTGACGCTTTTCGTTTCATTTTAGGGGGATGCCTCGTTAAAAACCTCATTAGGAAAAACCCTGTGGGAAAAAATCCTAATGAGGGAAAAAGAGTGCACCGAATTCCCCCAACGATGAATCGAAAATGTGAAACCTTGGTTCAAAATGGAGAATAATGGTGATGCCGAAGGCTCTCCTTGTTCTGAGGGCTCGTGTGTTGATTAGCCGGAGGCTTGTTGTTGATGTCCTGGGAGGTGCCGAAGGGGGGTCCCTCAATCTGGGGATCGAGGGCGTAATGAATGATGGTAGTAGTTGAAGTATTACCGGGATGTCCCCTGTTTGTTGATTAGTTGGTGATGAGGATATCTGAGGGCTCCCATTACCTGTGTGCCGTAGGCTATCCGTCAATGAGGTATACTCCCCGGGGGCTACCCGGCCCTCACAGTGCTGAGGGGGGATCCCCGAGGGGGCATGATATGAAGCCTTGGGCTTCTGAAGGAGTAATCCCGAAGGCGTCTGTTATGTACTGTGTGGGGCACAACCCGGGAGCGTCTCTGGGTAAGTGTACCCGGAGGCTTTCTTTGATGAAGTGGAGTGAAGTAAAAAACCCGGGGGCTCCCAGAATATAGCCGTTGGAAATATAGCCGTTGGAATATGTAACGTCAGGATATAGCCGTTGGGGGGGGTTGCCATGTGGTGCGTGCTCGTTGGCTGCCCGTGGGCGGGCGTCACCGATTGGGCGAAACCGCGGTCTGTAATGATGGCAGTCCAACCGGAGGCCCGGTTTCCAGGCCCAAGCCCGGATCCCAGCGCCTATAAATACCCCAAAGCCAGGGTCATTCTCCGTTGTGCGATTTCAGTGTAGCGAAGCTCTGGAAAAAATTTTGTAGAGAGAGAAACCTGCCTTCGGTTGAATCCTCAGCTCTCAAGGTCAGTTCCCCATTGCTCTTCTCCTTCTATTTAGCCGTGCCCTGCGTCTTTAGGCTAGGAGATAGCATTTTTAGAAAACTCTAGTGTGTCCGAGCCCTCGAACTAGTGCATAGATGTCGTCCCAAAGTGATTCCCAGGACATCTCGGGGGCGCCCTCGATGGAGGATGAAGTCATCTCGAACGTGGAGTCCTCAAGCGAACAGCCCTCAGTGGGACAAGACGTTGTTGTCTCCATGGAGCTGCAGAGAGCCCTCGTCGCTGAGGCGGAAGCCGAGGGCTTCGAGCAAGAGTGTGAAGATGAAGAGCTGGCCCTCGCCTGGCAAGCAGCTGAAGAAGAGGCGCAGAAAGAGGGCGCGAGGGTCACTGTTGCTGTTCTCCCCCCTCGGGGAACTGGCGAGGCCAGCACCTCTCGGCCGTTGAATGCGGTTCCCATCCGAGTGGCCCCCGGAAAAAAGAAGGCCAAGGTCGTTGTTCCCAAGAAGAAGGGCAGCGTTGCAGACCAAGGGAAGCCCCTCGATATGCCCGAGGGGTATTCATACTTGAATACCGCCGCCTTAGAGATAAGGTCGAAAGCTGATGCGGCGGATATTTACGTCACTCAACTACACGTGGGCCCCTCGGCCATCGTGGTGACACCGGGTCCTGATGACGTCCTCTCCCGGGCTCCCGAGGGCTGCATTGCGGTGCACATTCTTTCCGTGTCCATGGGGCTCCGGTTCCCCCTACACCCCTTCCTCCGGGAGTACCTCCGGTTTGTGGGTTTGGTCCCCTGCCAGCTGACCCCGAACAGCCATTCCTACATCACGGGGTTCCTCCAGCTCTGCAAGTCCCGGGGGGTAACACCTAGCCTGGATCTCTTCTTCCAGAGCTTCAATCTTTGCCGGGGGGGAATGCGAATGCCGAGGGCTTCGCAAACTTGCAGCAGGTGGCCCTGTTCAAGCTTTTTACTGAGGCGCCCTCCTCGAACAAAGGGTGTAAAGACCGGTGGTGCTATGTGAAGCTGACCGAGAGCCCCTTCCCGAGGGAATTGCGTGACCGGTTCAGGAGGCACGAGAAGAGGAGGAGCGCCGCCCTCGAGAAAGACGGCAGGATCCTGGCCAAGATCCCGGAGGGCCGGGACAAAAATATAACCATTAAGGAGTGCACCAAAGAGGAGGATCTCTACACCCTCGGGTTCCGGCGGTATCGATTCCTGGGGGAAACAGATGAGAAGTTCTCGGTGTTTGAGGGAGCCTCCGGAGGTAGTGGCTGAGGGCACCTTCATTTTTATATCTTAGCAGATAGTTTATCTGCTTGTTTGTTTCTTTTTTGTGCCATCTGTTAGTAACCCCTCGGTTTTAACCCCACACTGTTTTGCAGGTATCCCCGTCTACATGATGAACGTGAGGGGGCTCGCTGACTTGAAGAAGAAAAAGTCCTCCAAGGCCCCGAGGGCAACGGATGCTGGTGTCCCAAAACCCGCCGGTGACTTCTTTAAGAAGCCGGAGGGGCCATCGGCGGCCCCATATACTGATGCTGCTTCTTCTGTCAAGAGGAAAGGCGCGTGCAAGGCTCCCGATAGCAAAAAGCCCAAGACCGGGGATGCCGGGAAGAAAAGTCCCCCGGTGGTCATTGTTGACGATTGCCCCGCCTCCGGGGTGCACGAGGAGATGACGATGGCCGAAGTGCCGGGGGGCGCCCGGGAGCCGTCTTCCGAGGTCCTGACGGTTTCCCTCCCGGTTGGTACGGCCGTGATGAATGGCACGACTGACCCGAGGGTGCTCCTGAGATTGACAGAGCAGCCATCGGGGCTGATGATGATCAAGCCCTTGAGGACAGGATCCTCCGGTCTTCCCTCACGGTAAGTTTTTGACAGTTACCTTTTTTTACTTTGAGCTAGGAAATCATGTACGGCCTTCCTAACTTCCTTATTTTTGTAGACCTGCATTGCCCTCGGAGAGCAGGCCCGACGGCTAGAGGAGTGGCGTCTTCGCAAGGCTGAGCAGGATGCCAAGATGCGGGAGCTCATCCGCTAGAATTCCGATGCCATCCGGCAGATGGCTATGCTGGAGGAGAGCCTTCGGCAGATGACCCTGCGGGCGGAGGCCGCAGACCGGGGCAAGGCTGAGGCTGAAAGGTCCGCAGCTGTGGCCCTTGAGAGAGCTGCTAGGGAGGCCGAGGCCGCCAAGGTGGAGGCCATCGAGAGAGCCCGAGGGGATTCCATCTCTGGGTTCTTGGCAGGGGGTGGCGAGCTGAGGAGCACAAGCAATGGCTGTCCTCGGTCGTCGAGTCCTCGGTCGACGAGTGGTGCGATGGGCCCGGTGTGGAGTGGGTTTCCCGAAAGGGTAAACAATATTATGATGGGGGCGAGTTTTTCACTCAAGCCCTTATCTACCGGAGGATGGCCCGCCACCTGAAGATCGAGCAAAAGGACTTCGACCCGGCGGCATACGCCCCCTGCAGCCAGACGTTCGTGTTCCTCTCCCCTCCGACGTCGAGAGGCCAGACCTGGAGGATACCGAGCTCATGAAGGAGGCCGAGGGTGACGAACCTGAGGCTGGCACAGAGGTCACTTCGAAGCCATCGGAGGAGACGGCCCCCGGGAATGTTAACTTGTAATTTTTTAATTTAACATGTTTTGAACAATCCCTTTGTAATGAATGCTTGTGTGCCCTCGGCCTTCGGCCTTCTGTAACTTTGAATTTATTTTCTTTGGTGAATGAATACACGCCCCCGGGCTTTTGGTATACAAACCCTTTAATTCATTTCTTCTCGGATGTATGTCGTCGTTTTCTTTTGAATGTATGCCTTCGCTTTTCTGAGTGTATGCCCTCGCTTTTCTGAATGTATGTTTAGGACTTAGAATATATTCTTCCAAGTGTAGTGTTTCTTGTAGCCCTCGGCTACTAGTAATCTTTAGTCAGTTGAACCTTTCACCGAGGGCACAATGTTCAGGACTTAGAAAATATTTCTAAGTGTTTGTTCATCTGTTGGCCCCCGGCTAATCCTTCCATCCGGTTGTATGTAGCCTTCATGAGGTGACCGGAGGCGAGGTGTTTAGGACTTAGAAAATTTTCCTAAGTGTTCGAATACAGTTTCAGCCTTCGGTAGTTGGGCACCCTTCGCTGGATGTATGGCCGGGGGCCCAGCAATAGTTAGGACTTAGAAAATATTTCTAAATGTAGTCTCACCAAGCCTTCAATCGTGTGACCCCTCGGGCTGCAGGGAGATTCGAGACTTAGAAACTTGTCACCGAGGATAAGAACTTTTGGGACTTAGAAATTTTTCTAAGTGTAGCATGTATGAAGTAGGAGCCCTCGGGCAGCATGGAGACTTGACCGAAGGTCAAAGTATGTAGGACATAGAAACTTTTCCTAAGTGTAGCTTCACCAGATCTTCAACCGCGTGGCCCCTCGGGCAGCACGGAGATTTAACCGAGGGCCAAAATTTGTAGGACTTAGAAAGTTTTTCTAAGTGTAGTATGTGTGAAGTAGGAGCCCTCGGGTGACTGTGAAGGCCTTGTCTCAGATATGCCTCCGGTTGACTGATGGCTCCACAAGGGGCAAAGCATTTAGGACTTAGACTAGTCATTCCAAGTATTTCCTGCTGCTGGCCTTCGGGAGGACTCCTCGGCTGTATACGTTGTAGGTTTAGGATAGTTTCCTTTGATTTACAATGTTGGGCTATGGTAACAAGAACCTTCGGTTGTTTGTCATATAGTGCCCTTCGGGGATTTTTTGTGTCTGTTTGAGCCTTCGGTTTTAGGTATAACCGAAGGCAATCCTTGAGTGGACTTAGCCATTCGTTTATGATGCTTGTTGTGAATGGTATCCTTTGTACTTGTGAACTTCCAGGTACCGAAGGTGTTCCTGTGGGAAGCCCTCGGTATGTTTTTGTGAATTGTTGGAGTGATGTACTCATTGATTTCTCGCCGAGTCTACTCCCCTTCACCACCCCATTTTTTTTTTTGAGTAGTGAAGGGAATGCTTCAAGAAGCTTGGTTTCTTGGTAAGGCTTGGCCTATTGGGAGGTAACAGAATACACCATTAGCTCCCCCCTCGGGTTGACCTTCCGAGTTCCGAGGGGATCGAGGGTCGTCTCCTGGGCGCAAGATATGGTGGTCTGTAGCCTGCCTCCCCTTGGGGGATGGCGCGGAAAGCGCCTCAGTTTTGAAAGTCGTCCCCTCGGCGCTAGACATAGTCCGTGGCCTGCCACACCCTTGGGGTGGTGGCGCGGGGAGCGTTTCAGTTTGGAAGTCGAATCCTGGGCATTTCTCGTGCCTGTCATACCCTTGGGGTGATGACGCGGAAAGCGTTCCGTTTTTGAAAGTCGAATCGTGGGCATTTCTCATACCAGTCATACCCTTGGGATGATGACGCGGAAAGCGTTTCAGGGAAGGGTTTTCATTTGCACACTGGTTGCAAATGGCCGGGTGCACTACGTGCTGCCGGCACCGAGAGGTGGCGCCTTCGGTATAGGCGTCCTCGAGGGGTACGGCTTGAGAAACAACACTTGGTGTTTGTTCCGATGTACGTCCCCTGGCACTTGGTACCGAGGGGTCTTCTGTAAAAGTAGTTGGTGTTTTTTTTCCTTCACTTATCGTAGGGGACTGTGGTGTCTACCCTCGGTACCTGGTACCGAGGGGTATTCTGTGGGAAGACTTGGTGTCATCTGGTGAAAGCTGCTATTGGCGTGCCCCCCGGCACCAGGTGCCGAGGGGTATTTTTGGGGACAGGTGGCGCTTAGTCGTAGGTGATAATATTGTCTACCCTCAGCACTTGGTGCTGAGGGTTCTTCTATGGTGGTGAGGCCTTGGGCCTGGGGTGATATGAGGGCTTGGCCCCTGTGATAATCTTGTTCCGTGGTGTCTTCAAAACGCCTTCATTCTTCAGAATTCTCAGGCCTTGGGTCGTAAAATAATACATTCACTAGTTATGAGGGCTTGGCCGCTCTGATGTTATTGATGAAATTTAACTCAGTGATGTACATTCCAGTGCCTAGGGACTTCAGTCCCGTTAGGGCGTTTTAGCTTGTAAGTTCCGGGTTTGATGATGGCTGCCACGATGTAGGGGCCCTCGAACTTTGGTGCCATCTTTCCACCCTCGGTTGGTTGGCTAGCTTCCCTTCTTCGGAGGACATAGTCCCCCACTTGGAATTCCCGGGAGCGAACCTTGGCGTCGATGTAGCTCTTCACCTGCCGTCGGTAGTTCTCTGCGCGTATGAAGGCTTGCTCCCGGCGTTCTGAAATAAGGTGGAGATCGAGGGCCATATTGGTGTCATTGGCCTCCGGATCATACTGTGTGACCCTTCGGGTTGGGAGGGTTACCTAAGTGGGGGCCTTAGCTTCAAATCCGTAACAAAGGGAGAAGGGTGTTTCGCCAGTTGCCCGCCGAGGGGTGGTACGGTAGGCCCATAAGATGTTGTGGAGCTCTTCTACCCAACCTCCCCCTTCGGCCTCCAGCTTCTTCTTTAGGCCCTCGAGCAAGGTCCTGTTGGTGTTCTCCACCTGTCCGTTGCCCTGAGGGTAGGCGACGGATGAGAAGGTGTGTTTGAAGCCCCATGCCTCTAGGAGGGCACAGAAGGGGGCTGCCTCGAATTGAGTCCCGTTGTCGGAGATGATTTGCTGAGGGATGCCAAACCTGGTGAGGATGTTTTTGAGAACAAAATGATGGCACCTGACCTCAGTGATGCTGGCGAGGGGCTCTGCTTCCACCCATTTGGTGAAGTAATCGATCGCGACAATGATGTACCTGTTGTTGGAGGTACCCCTCGGCAGAGGGCCCACAAGGTCTATGCCCCATCGAGCGAAGGGTATGGATGTGCTGATGGGGGCATAGTTGACCGCTGGCCTGCCGAGGGCTTTCTGGAAGTGCTGGCATGACGGGCATCTCCGGGCAAGGTCCGCACAATCCCGGGCCATCGTAGGCCAGAAGTAGCCCTGGATTATTAGCCTTCGGGACATGGAGAAGGGTCCATGGTGAGCTGAGCAAGTGCCACTGTGTACTTCCTCCATTGCTACTTCGGCTTCATCTTGATGAAGGCACCGAAGTAATGTCCCGTTGTAAGATCTTTTGTAAAGCCTTCCGTCCTCGATAACGTAGCTAGGAGCCCTCAGTTTTGTCAGTTTGGCGCGGGCCTCCTCCTCGGGCAATTGCCCTGTGGTGATGAAGGCAACAATGTCTGAGATCCAGTCCTCCTGTCTTTGTTGTATGCTCATGACGGGGCTAGCATGTATGCTGGAGAGGCTGAGTTCTTCTATTTTGGCGATCTTGGAGATATGCTCAGGGGATTCCGCCGAGAGCTTTGATAAAATGTCGGCCTCGGAGTTTTGAACCCTCGGTATTTGAGTAAGAGAGTGTGCCTCAAATACCTTAAGCAACTCCTTGGCCGTCTCCTTGTATTGCTTCATTCTCCCTTCCTTGGCCTCGTATTCCCCGGAGATTTGGCCGACGACCAACTTGGAGTCGCACTTGATGTGGATTTGTCGGACCTTCATGTTAGCTGTCAGCCGAAGGCCACAGAGGAGAGCCTCGTATTCGGCTTCATTGTTGGAGACTTTGAAGGAGAAACGGACTGCATAATAGGCCCGGAAGCCCTCGGGTGAGATGAACACTACCCCTCCCCCGCATGCCTTGATGGCGGAGGAGCCGTCGGTGTAGAGGGTCCACCAGTCATCTGAAGGGGCCGAGGGCTCCTCATCCGTGGCTGCCCTTGCCGTACACTCCGTCACGAAGTCCGCTAGGGCTTGGCCCTTGATGGCGGGCCTAGGACGGATGTCGATGTTGTAATGGCTCAAGAAGACAGCCCATTTTACCATTCAGGAGGAGCTAATGGGGCTCCTCATCAAGGCGCCGAGGGGTTGGTGAGTGAGGACCTGGACCGGGTGAGCCTGGAAGTAATGGCCCAACTTCTTGATGGTCCACACGATAGCCAACACCGTTTTTTCCACGGGGGAGTACCGGAGCTCCGCTTCCCTGAGGGTCTTGCTAACATAAAAGATGGCATGTTGGATGCCATCCTCTTCCCGGATGAGTACAGAGTTGATGGCAGCCGGGCTAACACCTAAGTAGAGGTACAGGATTTCCCCTACCTTGGGTTTAGAGAGCACAGGGGGTGAAGATAAGTATTGTTTCAGCTCCTCGAATGCCCCCTGACATTCTGAAGTCCATTGGAAACCGGCGGTTTTCCTCATGATCTGGAAGAAGGATAAGGACCTCTCCGCCGATTTTGATAAGAAGCGGTTGAGGGCTGCCAGGCGGCCCGTCAACCGTTGGACCTCCTTCACGTTGCGTGGGGGCTCCATGTTGATGATGGCCTGGATTTTCTCGGGGTTGGCCTCAATACCCCTTCGGCTAACCATGTAGCCCAGGAATTTTCCCCCCTGGACGCCGAAGGTGCACTTCTTTGGGTTCAGCCGAAGGCTAAACTTTTGCATGATGGCGAAGATCTCCCTCAGGTCGTCAGCATGGCTTGCTGACTGCTTGCTCTTGACGATCATATCGTCAACATATGCCTCCATGGTGCGCCCCAGGACAGCTTGAAATACACTGGCCACCATCCGAGTGTAGGTGGCGCCTGAGTTCTTTAGGCCGAAGGCCATGACAAGGTAGCAGAAGATGCCCTCGGGAGTCATGAAGGCTGTCTTTTCAGCGTCCTCCTCATGCATGTATATTTGATGATATCCGCGGAATGCGTCGAGGAATGACATGATTTCACACCCCGCGGTTTCATCCACCAGTTGATCAATATTGGGCAGAGGAAATGGATCCATGACACATGCCTTGTTGAGGTCCGTGTAGTCCACGCACATGCGGAATGAGGGCGGTTTTTGTGCGAGGACTACGTTTGCCAACCATGAGGGGTATTTCACTTCCTTGACGTGCTTGATAGAAAGAAGCATGGCGACCTCCTTCTTCACAAATTCCCTTCTCTCGGCCGAGAGGGGTCTCCTCCGCTGTTGTACTGGTTTGGCCGAAGGGTCCACCGAGAGGCGGTGGGTGATGACCCTTCGGCTGATCCCCGGCATGTCCTCCGGCCCCCATGCAAAAACAATGGAGTAGGCGCGGAGGGCGCTGATGATGCCGGTCTTCAAATCTTCGGGGAGCTTGGCTCCAATCTTCACGACTCTCTCCGGCTTGGCCAGATCGAGCGCGAAGTCTTCTACCTCCTCGGCTGGTTCAGCCCTCGGCCTTCTTTCTTCTGCTTCCACAGTTCCGGTGATGGTGTCAACGCGGAACTCCGTCTTGCTAACCTTCTTTGTAATTTAAAGGTAGCAAGCGCGGGCAAGCTTTTGGTTCCCCCTTGAGTAACCGATTCTCCCTCGGCTGGGAATTTGAGGCAGAGATGCCTCATGGAGATGACGGCTTCGAGGTCCTCGAGGGCTGGTCGGCCGAGGATGATGTTGTGGGCGCAGTCGATGTTGACGATGACGAATTCCACTTCGAGCTTGGCTCTATGGAGGCCGTCGCCGAAGATGACCGGGAGGGTTATGACCCCCTCGGAATCAATGGTGTCGCCGGTAAAACCGGCAAGAGGTGTCTTGATGGGCCAAAGGGACCCCCTCTCCAGATGCAGCTCTCTGAAGGTGCTGAGGTACATTACATTGACGAAGCTGCCCGTGTCACTGTAAGTTCTGTGAATAATGGTGTCGTTGATCTCTGTGCGGATGACGATGGCATCCCTGTGGGGGGAGGATACTGGGGGGAGATCAGCGTTGGTGAAGATAATGGGTTCCTCCCTCGACCGCTTTACTGGGGGCATATGAGTGACTTCCCCCACGTAAAGTGATTGAGCCCACTTCTTTCGTTGACTTGTGGAGTCACCCCCGGTATTTCCCCCCGTAATCATGAGGATGTGGCGTTTCTTTTCTTGGTACCGGGGGTACTCCTCCTCCTCTTCTTCCAAGTTCCCAATCTCCCTCTTTTTGCCGAGGGGGATGGTGTTGGGGTTGATCCACGCGTTTGCTCTCGCGGTTTGCCCTCGGGCAGGCCCTTGGTGAGGGGGGCCCTGTTGCTGAGGGCCCTGGACAAACTAGGACAGATGGCCCACTTGTATTAATCTCTCGATGGCCGTCTTTAGCTGATGGCAATCATCGGTCCTGTGCCCCTGATGTCGGTGGAAACGACAGTAGGGGTAGTTTGGATTGATGGCAAGTACTTCCGAGGGCGCGCGTGAATCTCGCTCCACGAGGCCCCTTTCTTCAGCAAAGTCAAGAATAACGTTGACAGGGTGCGTCAATGGTGTCCGAGGGTGCTCCAGGAGAACAGGTTGGGCCCAAGCCCTCGGGTTCCCCTTGTAGCCTCCCCCAGGCTTGGCTTGGCCATGCCGGGGGCGGTCACCGGAGGGGGCAGAATCCCTGGGATGATTGCGGGGAGCCCCCGGCCCCCGGTTACCTTTGTCTTCTGGCCGAGGGCGTTGCTGATCTGGGACATGGTGGCATTTCTCCACTTCCTCGGCCTCGGCGTACCGGTCCCCCCGCTGTAGGGCCCTTATATAATCGCGGGGGGGTTCGATGATGAGGCTCCTTGAGAAGTTCCCGGGGCGGAGTACTGTTTGTAGGAGGGCGATGAGGGTCCCATCGTCAGCGCCGTCACCTTTATCAGCCTCCGTCCTCCAACGCTCCAGGAAGTCCCGAAGGGTCTCCTCCTTCCTCTGCCTCACTGTTAGCAAGTGGGAGAAGTGTTTTCTTGTGCGGCGCCTCCCCGCAAATTGCGTCAAGAATCGCTGGGCGAGTTCTTGCCATGAGTCAATGCAGCCTTCGGGCAATCGATTGAACCATTCGTAAGCTGGTCCCTCTAGGGTGGAGAGGAACCAGCGGCACAAATATTCATCCGATGCCCCCACCATCATCATGCTGTTTTGATACCTGCTGTAGTGCTCTTGGGGGTCAGTCTTTCCGTCATAGGGCTTGATGAGTTGCCCTCGGTATTTTTCCGGGATCCGGGCAGCCAATACCCTTGGGGTAAATGGCGTCCGGGTCCGGAGCTGTATGGTGGGTTCCCCGGAGCCCTCGACTATCTTCTTCTGCATTTCTTCCATTTTGGCCATCATCGCCTCATACTTGAAGTCCGCATGAGGGGCAGAAGTGGTGGCGTGGGCCTTGGTGGCCTCCATCTCGTCAAGCCGGCGCTGGAGGGCCGCAATGATTTCGTCTCGGGGGTCCTTCTGGAGGGCCTCCGCCCCCTGCGAATGGACTCGGGCCGAGTGAGCTTGATTGATTTGATGGCGTGCGTCGTCGGCATGGAGAGGTGCCTTGCCCTTGTCCTGAGGGGGACGACTTTCATTGGCCCTAGAAACGGACCCGCCACTTCCCTGAGGCCTTTGGAGCGCCTTCCCCCCCGAGGCGGTCTTGGACCCCTCGGCGGTCTTGCGCCCCTCCGAGCCTCTCGAGGGCAGAGGTCCGGGGCTGCTCCTTGTCCACGTTGTGGCGGTCCCGAGACTGGACTTCTTGGGAGGCCGTGTCTTGGGCTACGACCCCCTCAGAGTTTCCCATCCGGAGGACGGGGCTACCGAGGGGCCGTGGGTGAGGGGGAGGCATAATATTCTCCCCCACCTGAGGTTGGAGGGGAGCCACGGTGCCGAGGGCACCCGGGTTCTGAGTGAGCGTCTGGATGAAGGCGGAGAGCGCCGATTGTACGTCTACGGTGATGACCGGAGGGCTAATTTGATTTTCGCTCTGGTCCTTTTTCTTGGCCTCGATGCCGAGGCGGGCATCAGGGGCGTTTTGTTGAATCTGCTGGCGTAGGTCGACAACCGTCTGGTCCAACCCGGCGATGACGCCGCCCCCGGGAGCCCTGTTAGAGGCCTCGGGGACGTCGACCTCGCCGAGGGCCAGGTTGTTGTCCTCTACATTCTTGGAGTTGGCACGAGTTGTTCTCACCATTTTGGATGGGTGTTTGTGTGTTTGGTCGAGGGGGAGAGTTTCTTACTTGATTGTTCGAGCTCTCAACGAGAGCACCAAATGATGGATAGTGTACCCGGGGGGTAGCTTATCCGAGGGGTTATTACGGGGAATAACAAGAGAGAAGTAAGAGCAAGCAAGTATAGAGAGTGAAAGTATATTTAGAAAGTATGCAGCGTTTATGACTTGGTTACAAAAGGGGAAAGGGGGTGCTATTTATAGTAGCAATAAATGCCGGACAGGGACACGTGTCAAGCGTCCATTGGCCGAGAGGTCATCTCACCTGGTTGGCGCTGGCAACCGCATGTGGCCGCATTTAATGCGGCTATTGGATGGGACGTTGTACAGGGTACGGTGATCTGTACGCATGTGGCGCGGATATCATGTCGGGGAAGGTGCCCTCGGCTGTAGAGGACTAACCGAGGGCTCTGAGTACCGGGGACCCCCTTGGTGCCGAGGGCTACCGATTTTCGCCGTTTTCCCAGTAACTTTGTTTTGCTGTCTTGGCCCTCCTGTGAGAGTTAGAGCCTTCGGCCAGGGGGCCGAAGGCACCCCTGATGCGCATTTGTGGGCTGCTTGGTATCTTGGGCGCCGTGATTTGGGCCTGTCGTGTTTCCTGGGCCTGTTGGACCTTTATTGGAGCAGTAGGAGTCTGTGGGCCGGGGGTTCCCGGACCATATACTCCATCATCGTGCACTTCTAATAATTGAGAGCCCCACTGAAGATGCTCTTAGGTCGAGTCATGAGGCTCTTGGAGTTGAGGTTTCAAACCTTTAGTAATTGCTCTAAGGATGTTTTTACTTGAACTATAATTTCTGACAAACCAGATTAGACCAGATCAAACTTGAATAGTTATAAAATACAAAGAAATCAGACCAAACCAGACTAGACCAACAAATTACAATCCATGTAAAAACATCCTAATTAGAATCAAAAGTTAATCAAATTGTATAAATGTGATTAAATGTTTATAATTCCCTAAACAACAAGACTTATTTGATCATATTAAAGAAAAAAAAAAATGGTTTATGGATGGCTGGATGGAAAGGAGACACAAGATCACTTATTATTTGCCACTTGATGAAGTAGTTGTATATCCAAACCTACAGTAAGCCGTCTCATTTGACCTTTCTATATGGAGGGTTTGACCAATAATTATACCCTTTTTATATATCCTCAATAACTTCGCAGTGCAACCTCGCTTTTCCTGCTGTCCAATGAATTCACCATTTTCTCTGCTTCCAGTCTTCCTCCCATGGCTGCTACTTCTCTTTGCTCTTCGTGTCGGACCCACACTCCTATCAGCACAGAGATCAACTTACATTGTCCACATGGACAAGTCCTTCATGCCCTCTGCTTTTCCCACCCACCACCACTGGTACTCCTCCGCCGTTGATTCCCTCACCATCCCATCCAATGGCCGTCTCCGTTCTTCTCCCAAGCTCGTCTACTCTTACGACAATGTTTTTCATGGATTCAGCGCCGTCCTGTCAGAGAATGAACTCAACGTCTTGAAGAAGTCCCCTGGCTTCGTTTCCGCTTATAAAGATCGGACCTTTGAGCTTCAAACCACATATACTCCCGCTTTCTTGAAGCTTAATCCGGAAACAGGGCTATGGCCGGCGTCCAAGTTCGGTGAGGATGTGATCATCGGCGTGATTGACTCCGGTGTGTGGCCGGAATCTAAGAGCTTTAGAGACGACGGGATGCCGGAGATTCCAAAGAGGTGGAAGGGGATTTGCAAGGTAGGAACGGATTTCAATTCCTCCTTGTGCAATAGAAAGCTCATCGGAGCTAACTATTTCAACGCCGGAGTTCTCGCCGCCAACCCGGGGGTCAACATATCGATGAATTCCGCCCGTGACACCGACGGCCATGGCACACACACGGCATCAACCGCCACCGGGAACTACGTCGGCGGCGTCTCCCATTTCGGCTATGCTCCGGGCACGGCGAAAGGAGTGGCGCCCCGTGCTCGCTTGGCGGTTTACAAGGTCAGCTGGGACGAAGGGGCTTTTACTTCAGACCTCATCGCCGGCATGGACCAGGCCGTCGCCGACGGCGTCGACGTAATTTCAGTGTCCATCGGATACCGCTTCATTCCCCTGTACGAAGATTCCGTCGCAATCGCGGCCTTCGGAGCTATGATGAAGGGTATCCTCGTAGCGGGATCCGCCGGGAACAGAGGTCCTAGTGTAGGCACCGTAAACAACGCCGCACCTTGGATATTGACGGTTGGTTCCGGCCATACTGACCGGTGGTTCGCTGGGACGCTGAAACTGGGCAACGGGAAAACATTCAGGGGATGGAGCTTGTTCCCGGGGAGAGCACTGGTGAAAAACGACAATCTCCTTTACAACAAAACCATTTCCGCCTGTGATTCGTCGGAGCTTTTAGCCGAAGTCCCAAACCCGGCGGGTACTATACTCATTTGCGAGAAACCGGCGAACGACGACCCCGCGTTTATCTCATCACAAGTAGATGCCATTACTAAAGCTGGATTTCATGCCGCCATCTTCATCAACGACGACCCCGGGATTTTCCGGTCAACGGTTTTTCCCAATCCCGGAGTTTTCATCAGCCCCAAAGAAGGGAAGGAAGTGATCAGCTACGCGAAAACTGGGAAAGACCCACGAGCCACCATCACATTCCAAGAGACAATCTTCGGGAAAAAACCAGCACCGGCGGTTTCAGCCTCTTCCGCCAGAGGTCCGTCCCGGAGCTACCTGGGGATTTCGAAGCCCGATATATTGGCGCCGGGAGTTTTGGTCTTAGCCGCCTATCCCCCGAATAGTTTTGCAGTGTCTGTTGGGACCAACATTCAATTGGGTGCAGATTACATTCTTGAATCGGGGACGTCGATGGCCTGTCCTCACGCAGCCGGAATCGCCGCTATGCTGAAAGGGGCACACCCCACTTGGAACCCTTCGGCAATTAGGTATACTCTTCTTTCATCTATAAATAATTCAATTAGTTTAGAATTATGTTTGAAAGGAATTAGTTTTAGAATTAAAATTCATGTTTTCGAAATTTTATATTTAACGTTAAAAAATCTTTAAGAGAAAATTATTAGGGATATTAATAAAACACAACATGTTTCCCAAACTTTGAGTCAATCAGTTTTTTTCTTCTCTAGGATATCATCCGTATGTGGTGCATGTATGTGAGATTTATTAGGGGAAGAGGTTATTTAACGCTATCTATGTGAGGTCATGTGATGGAACAAAAACAGTTTGAGTCATATTTTAGGAAAGTCACATGTTTTAGTAATATTGAGGTTTTTTCCCCAATCTTTAAATGGACCTAAAACAAGGATTAAATTTATAAATAGACTATCCTTGTTTTTATATCGAAAATATGACGCATTCATTCATATTGTAGGAACTTTAATCGATCTATACTTTGAGTCAGAAAAACAACTTCAATTATATTTTTTCTTATTACGGAGTATTAAACAATTCAGCTTTCAAAATCAAAAATTATGTGTTTGATAAAAAACTAACTCATAAAACTAATAAACCGAAAAAATAGGGTTGCGAGAAAGGCTCTTAGTCTCTTTTAAAAGTTTATGTACTACGTATGTTTATCATCATATATTGAACAATTTCTATTAACGTTATCTAAAATTAAAAAATAAAATAAAATGTTAATAAGGTAAACAAGGTGAAAAAAATCTTATATTAACAAGGTAAATTTAAATTTGCAAACCATTAAATCGTGTAAGATAACACAATGCAACAGGTACCATTAAAAGTTACATATTTATTTGATAAAAGTTTGTCTCAATAACTCTGAAATTTGAGGTGATTAAATAAATGATACTCCCTTCGTCCCCTTTTAAATGTCCCGGAAGAGGATGACACGAATTTTAAGAAAGGTAGGTTTGTGTGGTTGATATTAATAGATAAAGTAAGAATAAAGTAAGAATGATTTTGAGTCACACAAATTTTACCAAATAAAGTATGGGACAATTAAATAGAGACATCCTAATATGGTAAAATAGGACATTTAAAAGGGGACGGAGAGAGTATCAAACTACAATAGTATTTTGTACAAAAACTATTAACATATTTATGTCAATTTTTATCTGTATGCATACCAAAAGAGTTGAAATTCTAATTTTTTTGGTCAATTTTTATGATAACGCCTTTTTTGGTTTTATTATGACCTAAAAAGAGTAAACTCTAATTTGAGTGTTAGATTTCACTGGTAAAACGAGATGCAAATTTGAAGTTTCCATTTGATCATCCACTTGCCACGACAAGATTGATACTTACAGATTTCTTTTCTATTTTATTTTATATTATTATTATTATTATTATTATTATTATTATTATTATTATTATTATTATTATTATTATTAGGTCTGCCATGATGACAACAGCTAATGCATTGGACAACTCACGAAAACCAATCAAAGACGCCGACGACGGCTCGGTCGCCACTTCTCTAGATATGGGTGCGGGTATGGTCGACCCGAACAAGGCAGCTGACCCGGGACTCGTCTACGACGCGACTCCCCAAGACTACGTCAATCTCCTATGCTCAATGAATTTCACAGAGGCTCAGTTCCGAAGCATAGCGAGATCCTCGGGCGCCCACAATTGTTCCGACCCGAACCCAGATCTCAATTACCCGTCCTTCATTGCTCTGTACCCTCTGGGAGTAGACAATGGAGTATTCAATTGGTTGGTCCGGACATTCAAGAGGACCCTCACGAATGTCGGGCCGGGTCCGGCTACGTACACGGCTAAGCTTGAAGTGCCTGAGAATTCTACGATGTCGGTGTCTCCTAGTAGGTTGGTGTTTGGGAAGAGGAACGAGAAACAGAGTTACAGTTTGAGGATACGTTACAGAGGTGACGAGAAACAGAGCAAGTATTCGGGTTCGGTTACTTGGATTGAAGTCAACGGTTCACACTCGGTCAGGAGTCCGGTTGTGGTGTCAAATACAGTTGACGTTTGGGAATGAACAAGAACTTTGGGTGGGTTTACCAAAAACCGAAACAATAACCGCAGAAAATCACATATATGGTCCCTCAGTTATCCACGAAATTAAAATCTCATACCTGTAGTTCTGAGATTGTAAATGTCATCTCTCAATTATCCAAAATGCTGTAAATGTGGCCTTTTTGAGAGGTGAAATATACAATGTGGGCGAGAGTATATTTCACTACTTAAAGGATCACATTTACAACAATTTGGACAATTGAGGGTGTCATTTACAATCTCAAAAATACAGATATAAGATTTTAATTTCGTGGATAACTGAGGGATCACATATGCGATTTCCCATAAATAAACAAAATATTTAAACTTTTAATGCACTAGGCCCATGTTTTCAGAAGCCCAAGCCCAATTTCACTTTGCCTAACAATCTTATTGAGTATGTAAGGACTTACATGGTTAGTTGTTTGAGTAAACACCCAATATAATTATATTGGATGTGGTTAGCTGCTATTGAAGAGGAAGCTCACTCATTTCTCAGATGTGGGATAAAGGGCTGTGGAAACAAAATGAAAAATTGAAGCATTGAATAAAATTATAGCGCCCCCGGGATTCAAACAAGGGACATCTGTGTCAGAAACTCGCTTGGCAACCGTCTTGCACGAGAACTTCGTTTGTTGTTCTAGGACTGCTATCTAGTTTATATACATTTAATAAAGGTCATTACTATTAATTTATTATAATTATTATTAAAAAAATGTCGGTTCGGTTCGGTTCAAACCGATATATTAGAACTATAAACTGATTTCGAACCGATTTTTTTCGAATCCCAATTTTCAGGTCCCAAATTATATCGGTTCGGTTCAGTTTTTTTCAAAACGGTTCGGGATTTTTCGGTTCGGTTTTCATTTTTCGGTATAAAATGCCAGCCCTAGTCTTCTCCATCTTCAAAAAAATGCTTCTAGGAGTAATTTGAAACACACAGAAGTACTTCTTCATTTTCACCCAAATATTCTAATATTCGCTTCTGCTTTTAACGAACAAAATTTGTTTAAAAAAGCAGATCAAAACGCCCTCTATAAACACTTACATAAATGATTATCAAACACACTTAAAATTTCCATTATGAAAAAAACTTGCATTGGTGCGCCTATGTTCTCAGATATTGCATGACAAAACCCATTTAAGCAAAAAAAGAGCTAATCTAGGTTGAGAAATTCTCTGTTTACAAAAACAAACAAGTCTATAATCCTCTTTACCAATTTCTAACATAAAATATTGTTGATGAGAGACTCCAATTGAAATAAATAATTGAATATAAAGTGTTTAGCTCAAGGATAATTTTAAGGGAAAAGGTGAAAATAAACCTTAGAATTAATCGAAAAAGTGTAAATCACCCCATTTGTAGGTGGCTCTGTCCAGCCGTCACCATTTGGGGAGGTTCCCGGTGGAATTTGTTGATTAATTTGTTTTATCATCTTCTTCATTAAGTCTAGTTTACCCATACCAAATTTCAGCTAAAAATTCACCGAGAAGACGGTCAAATGATTTTCTAAAATATACTACGCTGTTTAACTGCGCAGTTATCTTCAAACATTTATTTGACTGCCTTCCCGGTTGCATTTTTAGCTGAAATTTGGTATGAGTTTACTAGACTTAATGAAAAAGATGTTAAAAAAAGTTCATCAAGAAATTCCATCGGTAACCTCCTCAAATGGCGATGTCCGGACAGAGCCTCCTATAAAAGGGATGATTTACACTTTTTCGATTTGTCCGATGGCTTATTTGCCCCTTTTCCCTATTTTTAATTGGACTGAGCCAAGTTAGACCAACAAACCAACGTAACATGTGGAACCAATTGATCACATATTTACTGGAGACATGATGAAATAATTAACAACGATGTTGATGCACTCACTCTTATACTCACCTTATACCCATCATGTTTGTAAATGTTTTTTCATCTGTGAATTCGGTTCATCGACAAAATATGTGTTATTTTGTCTGTGCAATTTTTGTACAAACAAAAATTGTCTGTGAACGGAACTTATAGACAAAAAAAAGTCTTTACAAACATGGGTGGGTATAAAAGTGGGTATAAGAGTCAGTACAAACATCATTTTTGAATAATTTATACTCCATCGGTCCTGAATTGTAAGATACTTTATGGTTTACGATGTTTTATCGATGATAAAACAAACATATTCTTGTCCATACCTAAATTATTTTTAGAAAAAAAAATACATATTCAAAAACAATATTAAAAGTTTTACAAACTCACAAAAATCAGAACCAAATTTGATAAAAGTTTGATATATAAAGCAAAAAATTAATAATGATTTGTGTTGATTAAGTGAATATCAAATATATTGCAAAATGGGATTGTGAGGGAGTAACAATCTTTCTCTTGAGACATTACAGCTATCCATATGACTGTATACTTCGTATAATACATGCCAACGAGTAACTACCACATGATTGATCTATAGTAACTAAATATAGAAAATTAATGAAAACAATAATTGCAAATACATTACAGAAGATTATTAAAGTACTTTCATAGTAGCTAAATGAAAAGAACTCAATTGCTTCTATTTGACCGAATCTGGGCTGCTGTGGTAGTTGCCCTTTCCAAACGGCGGGGCTGCCTAATTAACCCGCAGATTACGATATATATTGTGCGGCATCAAAGACATGACGTCAAATGCAGGCGGCGGCCGCAGCGGGACGGCGGCCCGACGGCGGCATAAAGGGCAAGTGGCGTTCCTCCTCAGCCACGCTGCAATACAATTTTTATGGAAATCATGTGAGCAAAAGGGAAGCAAGGCGGTAATCTCTTGGCCTTTGACATATTCCGACAAACACACGGCGCAAACTCTCTGCTTCTGATCATCTTCGCCGGCGCAGCTTTCCCAAGTATTCGACTGCAGTCTCCCAATTTCATCTTCCGACAATCCCGTCCTCTCCATAGTTGTCCACAATTCAAGAATTTAGCTCTCAAGAACTAATTAGAAGTAATGGAAACCCAATTCAAAAGAAGGAAATATAGAATGTCCGCACTGCACCACCGGGCGGCCTCTTATATATCAGAAACGCAAGGCGGTTTAGGCAGCTTATTCCTCAAGCGATCCTTAATAATTACAGCCGCCATTAAATTAGGCAGATTAAATTGATCAATTTCTAATTGACTCTTGTTTCCTAATGTTTTCCTATGATACAAAATCGCATGTAAAGTATGGGCCCCAGATAGGAATGTTGTTATGGCCACGTTGGCATGTCAATTAAACACTTCACATGAAGTTTAGGAAAGAAAACTATTTACATCGTTTAATTTAATTATTTAACGCAAATTGTAGTGCATTTTTTTAAAAAACATACACCGTACCACGTAAATTATTTTACGTGGGTAGAGAGTGCTAAAAGAGTTTGAAGGGGTCGTTGGGAGTGTCTCGGAAAAACGAAGAAATATCAATTAATAAAAATAGCTAAAGAAAAACGAAAAAGAGATGGAACAGAAATAGCCAAAGCTTGTGTTACGCACAATGTCCTTAAAACGTATTTGTTGCCTCCATAGATGCTTGGAGCGTTGCAACGATCGTTTCCCAGAATTCGATGACTGTCGAACAATTGTTTGAGCGCTTAACAAATTGTTCTAGCAAACGGAAACCAAGCAAGAACATTAAGGAATATTTCGGAATACTGGAGGTGTGTTTTAGCTCAAAACATTTGTGCTAACTGTGTTGTGAGATGTGTTGTTGCAAAACACCTGGCAGGTATATATAGCGACGGATTTGTGATGTGTTAACTGAGCTTTAATGGGCTTAAACGTTGGATATAAATGACCAGCATGTTGGGCATTAATATGTCAAAAACTGTCCATTTAAAAACGCATTAAAAGATGAGAATGTTGGACAATAAATCTCGCAACGGCTGAGAATCGTCCAGGTGTGCGACCAGAACACCCCCAGAACTGGTGTAACATGTTCTGAAAACGTAATGGAAAGAAGCAAAAAATTAAATCGTATCTTTGAATGATATATTTTCGGACAACATTCGTGTCCGCAGGTCGCGGTTTTTCTTCTTCGTTTTTGAGATTTGATCGACCCCCCCCTGCTAAGAGAGTCTTTCCCCTTAGGAATCTTAACTCCTTTAAGGGGGTTCCCTTTAATAAAGGGGTGAAAATCCTTTGGGTTTTCCGGTGTGGAATAAATCACACAAGAAACCCATCATTTTTTCAATTTTTCCAATTCAACGAGTGAACTTCGAGAATCGGTTTGGTAATAACGAAATCGATTGTATTAGCTGATTCTGCTGAAATTTGTATTAAGTTCTAGCTGAAGTGGCTAGATTGACTGATTCTGTTGATTTATGAAAAAATTATATTTAAAATATACAAATATAGAAAAAAAAAATATGAAAAACCACCTAAAATGGTTTTCTACATTAACTTCAGTTAATAAAGCCAGAAAAGTAACTTCAACCTTACTTTTTTTAATATTACATAATTCAGCCCACGAAATAAAAGGTTCAATGTTTGATGAAAAAATGGCTAATAAACGTGATAAGCCGATAAACATGGTCATCAAACATGTTTTTATAGATATAAAAGATTAAAGGAATTTTATCAATCTAGGACCTGAAAGATAGACGAACTATCAATTCAGAACCTGAAAGATGGAATGTATCGGTATAGAACCCGAATGATGGAAAACTATCAATCTAGGACTCGAATGATGGAAAACTATCAATTTAGGACCTAAGTTTTCATAAATTTTATTATTATTTTTATTTTAAAAAAAATTAAATAATATTTGGTTTTATTAAACTAATAAACTTTTGTGAAGAAAATTTCACCAAATATTAGCAATGGAATTAATAAAAAATTAAAGAAATCAAAACCTATGAAATGTTAGGTCCTAGATTTATAATACTTCATCTTTTGAGTCCTATACCGATACATTTATCTTTCAGGTTCCGGATTGATAATTCATCTATCTTTCAGGTCCCAAGTTGATAAAATTCCAAGATTAAATGAAAGACCCATAAATGTCATTTATGTTCTTTTATCCCAACGAAAAAGAGGGTCACTATATACACTGCACTATGAAATGTTTGAATCGTCCAACATCCGAAGCGGCCACGCTCATTCTCTAATCTCTACCATATGCATTTGTTTGACAAAATTGCTATCGTGTTTCCCGATTTAGAAGGAAGTAGATCGTGGTCTTTTTGTTTTGTTTGCTTGCTTGATTATGCTCGTACTACCTTTAAAACATTAAATTTTACAACTATGCTAATATGACATTCAAAATTAATACTTATCCGTTCTTTTTTAGTTTCTAACATTCTCTTTTTCATGTTTCCCAACGTACAACTTTGACCGTGATTATATTTAATTTCGTGTGAGTAAAAATAAAATAAATATCAGATTATAAAACTTAGTAATGAGACAATTTAACAATAATTTTCAAAAAATATAATTCACATACATTAATAAATGAAATGAAGTCAAAGTAAAATATATGAACAATATATATATTCCAATGTTGCAACTAATGCGATACAGAGGATAGTACTCCGTATCATTCCAACTTTTCTGTCAACATAAGGACCTAAAGATTTTTTCTTTTTCTTTTTTTTTGCAGAAGTAAGGACCTAAAGAACTCAAAAACGAAACTACAAAAATGGGTGTCCTTGACTGTCAAATGATGGCTGGTTTCAAAGACAAACTTCCATATGTTCTTGTAATTTAAGTCAACCATTTTTGAAAAGGTTTCCCAGTCTCACTGTGCTTTAGTACAGAGATAAGACTGCGTATATGCGATTCCCCTTACCCCACCGTAGGTGTGAGTCTTTGCGGCACTGCGGTAAATGAAAATGAAAAAAAAATGATTTTTGAAAAGGCTTCTGAGGGCACCAAGCAGGGTTTTCGAATTGGAGTAACAGGAAAGGGAATGATCTGATTAGAAGTGCTGACCT